CCACCGTGCTCCTGAGCAGGTAGAGACCAAGCGCCTCTCCCAGAAGGCCGACGTTTATGCATTCGGCGTCGTGCTGCTCGAGGTGCTCACGGGCCGGGCCCCGTCTGAGTGGTGCCCTTCCCCGGGCAAGAACCGGGCAAGGGGCGAGGATGTGGACACGGCTGGGGACCTGCCCGGGTGGGTTCGGTCGGTGGTGAGGGACGAGTGGACGGCTGAGGTTTTCGACCAGGAGTTGCTGAGGTACAAGAATATTGAGGAAGAGCTTGTGTCGACTTTGCACGTAGGGATGGCATGTGTGGTCCCGCAGCCGGAGAAGAGGCCGACGATGGGTGAGGTTGTGAGGATGATAGAGGAGATTAGGGTTGAGCAGTCGCCGTTGGGTGAGGATTATGACGAGTCGAGGAATTCTATGTCGCCCTCGGTTGCGACCACAACAGAGGACGCGTTTTGAGTTCGGCGTTTTGAGTTCTGTTCTGTTTTGTTGCTTTGTTCTGTAGTTGTTATTTTTACTTTATTTGGGAGATGAGATGTGATTGTATGGTTCATTCATGTGGTGGATTGATTGGAAGTCTAATGTATTGTTGGGCTGTTCAGTTCAGATTTGTTGTGGTGAAGAGTATATGTTTTAGTATTGCTATGTTTTAGATTATGTTTGTTTTTATTTATTGCGTTGTTTTGTTGAGGATAGTCTCTCTCAAATGGATAGTGCAGTCTCGATTGTGAAGTATAATTATCTCTATAAAGCAGTCTTTTTCAACCTGGACTGGCCCGGCAGGTCGACATGGAACCCGGTCGACCCAGAGTTGGAATCGATTTGGGTGGACTAATTGGATTGGGCTGGTAATAAAGGAACCGGTCAAACTCAGTCAAAATCCGTCAACTTGGCCTTGACCCGGTTGACTCGGGGCATTGACCTGGTTGGGTCAACCCGGTTGACTCGATCCCTATATTTTTTTTAATAAATAAAATTATGTATATATATATATATATTTATATGATAAATATTTATCATGAAATACATATTACCACCACTTTAATCTACAAATTTTACATACAAAACATTTAATTTTGTTACTTTATGTATATTTATATTACAAAATACTCTATATATATAATTTTAAAAATTTTAAAATTAATTATCCGATTCATCAATTGACCCGGTGACCCGACAGTTGAACTGATGACCTAGAGACCTTCCTGGGTCGATTACCAGGCGGGTTTAAAAACTATGCTATAAAGTGTAATTTACTTGTTGGTTTGTTATGTTGTTGTGGTGGTATGGGTGTCATATAGCTTTATATAGTCCACTTGATCGCCTTTACTCGAAGAATATCAATGGGTGGTAGACAATCTCTATTAACAGTTTGGTCTAAATTTGAGGCTTTTGTAACCCACTTTAATTGTTAATTATGACTGGCAAATGAGGATCCTGTTTTGCAAAGTGTAATTATTATGAACCAATCTAACATTACTATAGGGTTATTCGCACCTACACTATAGATGTTTACAAAAATTGACTCTTAAGTTTGGATTAATTATAAGAAACACTTATATTATAAAATCACGGTTTTGCTATGAAGTAATCAGTTTGTTCCATAGTGGAGCCAACATTCTATATACAACAAATAAATCATACCATATTGATAAAATTATATTAGTGTTATTTAAGTAATCAGCGAATATGGTAGATTTACTTGTTGTATATAGAAGGTTTGCTCCACTATGAAGCCAACAGTTGGCTTCATAGCAAAACCGAAATCACATACAACAAACTCCATAGACTGATCAATTTTTAAGTTTAAGACACAAGTACGACATTGTGCTATTTTTCCATATTAATAAGGTGTTACTATTAAATTATACAGTTAAGATGTCCTCATTAGATTACAAACATTGGATTATACTCTTTTCGAAATATCCCTGTAAAATTAATGATAATTTACTCGATCGGTGAACGTGTATGCATGAAGATTTCATGTTCGTAGACGAGAATGCCATATTTTCACACGTGTCATGCATCCAATGAATGAAACACAAAACGTAACAAGAAACGAAACACCGAAAGTAGAATATATAATCTCATTCGTTAAATTACAGTTGAGACAGCAGACAGACACCCATTGAAGTTATAATTTGATTTAAACGAGTACAATGATGGGGTTCGAGGCAACAAAAGTGACATTCAAAGTTTATCAAAGTCAATGGCCAACAACCTTCACTAGCATTTTTAATGATCAGTGCTCGTTATCTTCAACAAATGATGCATCCTTTTTGCACATGCTCAAGTGCAAACTTTTTTTAAAAAAAAAAAAAACAAAACCAATAGCAAAATTGTTACTGCTAAGGTAATTTTTGACTTGCTGGTGAAAAAAGTTACACTTCCAACATCAGCACACAGCTACAAGGAAAGTCCTTTACAGAGAAGGGTACATATTGCAGGTTTCACTTTCAGATACAGGGCTGTCGAGCGAATAACATATTTATCGTAAACAAAAAATGCACTCGAATCAGGATATGATACTAATGAACCAGTGTCAGAAGTACAACAATTTGGGACCAACACTACTAAAACTTCCATCCCTCGTAAGTACAATAACGTCTCGTCATGTCGATAAGCTGTTAAAACTTGAGATCACACAACAGATTACAAATATACAGTCATGGTCTTATCTAGAAGCATACGAATCATTGAGAGGTTCTTCGCACATGCGTTTATAAATTAAGATTAGGATACTTGATACTTTACTAGTTAACAGTAACCTTGTACGTGTGTGGGTATGACCTGAGGAAATTTTCCAACTTTCCCCGAATGTGTACAAACAGCCCATTCATCATCTGTGAATGGGGCTTCTTACAATTACCTCTATTTTTCATCATAGCACAACAAGATTAGACTTTCTCAAAAAACAAAATGATCCTCCTCCACATGCAACAGATCACAAAATTCAACCAACGGGACCCGTTTGATCAATCAGTACACCAACCTGTTCTCCGCATAATGCCCTCGATATATTCCCGGGCTCATGGAGATTGAAAATGACAACTGCCAGAGATGATGGATTTTAGACGGGGACAAACTGGAAATTATGAGACAAGTAAAGGGGCCCAAAAAAAAAAATAAAAAATCACAGACCTGGAATCCCGTTTTCTTCACAGAATGTGAGAGCCATCATATCCATGGAGGATGTGCCTCTCGATGCCAACTCCCTGAAGGAAATGTGCTCCGATGAAATGTCGTTTGAGTCGAAAACAAAAACGCCATCAGAATTCGTGCCTTTCATGACAACATCCGCATGAACTAAATATAAAACAATTTCCAGTAAATTATAGGTAAACTGTCAATAGATAAGGGATTGTTAAAAATTACACTCGTGATTGACTAAATTACCAAGAACACGGAGAAGATCACAAAGACACTTACCCTCATGATTGCCCATATTACCAAGAACACACAAAAAAAAA